ATGCTAAGTTCGCGTCTTTGGCCGCAAGGGTGCCGCACGCCTTAGGCAAGTCCAGCTAAGGTCGTGACAAGACGGTGCAATCCAACAGTTCTGGCTATTACTTTCAACATCATCATCCTATCCTGCAACACAAAGTAACAACAATAGTCGACAAAAGAAAATTTCATATATCAACCAATAAATAACACATGTAGTCTAACATAGAAGAGAAATTTCATTATAAATTACTGTTATCAGCTTAGTGTAGAGTGTGAACCAATCTATCAAAACATTGAAATGACATTGACTATAGCCTTTCAATATAATAAATAAAATTCACCCATTCAAAACATTCTGAATAGAGTAAAGAGCCACATATAACTCTTTATAATACATCCCTATCTTAATCACATGTAGATTCAAGTATTCAGGCCAATTTTCTAAAACATTAATGATCTCAATGGAACTGCATATCTTAAGAACTTAATCACTAACAGGAAATTGAAGATAATGAACAATATAGAAAATCCTTCTTTTAATTAACAAGAACTTGCAGGCTAACAAAGCCACCACCAGACTTGCTATATAGATCAGCAAACATGATATTAAAGTACAAATTTCGAAAATAATAATAAGGTGCATGAGGAAAAGGATAACTACCTCAAAGCGTTCATTGCATCTTTGAAGGCGAGAGAACAGTTTCTCAGCGAAACCCTAAAGCAGCACCAAAAGAAAAAATTGTCAAGGAAGCATAAGGATTTAATTTACTGAACTATCATACAAGGACCAACCAACCTGTGCATCTTTTAAATGAGTAAGAGGTGAATAGTAACCGGAGCTGTTACTTTGTGATGTTATTCGCTGCTGCCTTTTCATGTTGCGTATCACACGCTGCAACTTTGCCTTCTTTTTTTTCTTGCTGGCAACCGTACCTTTATGATTTGCCTAGAAGTAAAATAAGAAATAGTCAATTGAACAAGTTCCTAATTTTTTTTTAAAAAAATTGCTACAGTCTCACCACTCAAAAGAAACACAATGTTTACATGATCTAGATTAAATTTCAGCTAATGAGTTGCATGTGATGGAAACCAATTTCCAGACATGCATACAAAGAAAATCACAATGTATTAAAATGCAAGTGATATCCACAGGTGCATGCTAATGACCATTTATTCATTTAATCGATGAAAAGAGTTGGGCAATACATAACTTTTCTAATTCATAACCAAATTTGCATAACTGAAACTTGTGTTATTTATTAACAAGGGAGACAAAGTTTATCTTTTAAAGTAAAGGTGGGGTTATGCACATGACTGCATTCCCTGAAATCAACTAATAACCCACCTAAATAACCACTTACCCTTTGCAAAAACAATAAAAAACTAATAACCCCCTCCCAAATAGGGTTTTCAGATTATCAACAAGCACCTCAATATTTTGGGTATAACTTGACAAGCAAAAGTTAGATTCATTTTGAATAACTCCATGAATAGTGATTAATAATTCCAGAAGATTTATTTCTGTTATTTGTCTCAGTTCTTTAACATGGTTTACTTCAGGTTACCCTTGGTCAGCTTCAGTACTACAATTTACAATCTAACCACTAGAACAATTTATTTTAATTGACTGTAGGAAACAGATACAGTGCTTCCATATGATCAAAAGAATAAAACCTGAACTACTTAAGCATGCAAGACCTTGTAAATAGCTTCTCGGCTAAGAGTAATAGGCTGTTGACTAGTTGTATCGTCTTCACTGCTTGAGGCTTCACAGTCATCCTCCTCTTCAATTTGTTCATAACCAAGAAGAAATGAGAGAGTAGATATCATAATCCTGAACACATAAAACCTCCCTATAAGTTAAAGATATACAACTATAAAAAGAAGAAAAGAATAAGCTAAAATTGGCAGCAAAGTGCACGAGGATTTTCCCAATGTAGAATCTGAGATTAACTAAAAGCACAAAGAAATATTTTTGTTGTGAAACGATAATGCTGAGGTTTAACAAAGCCAAGATTGGTCGAGGCTGTAAAGGCTCAAAGTGGATATGACTTAATTACAAGCCTAAAGATTATGTAGAATCTGATCAGACTCTTGTTGAAACTGATCAAGATTATGTCAAAGTTCAGACAACCAGTGCTAGGACCTACAAGAAGTTTTACAACCTAAAATCATGCCTATCTCAAGACTAACATGAGCCTTATTTGAAGCTTGATTAAATATACTTCAATTGATCTCAACTTTTAAACTTTAAATATATCCATTTTTATTTAATTTATGCCATATATTTAAATCTTTTACCAGTTCATAGGTTATACATGAGTAATGACTCATGGATGCCAACAGATTGTGGAATTAAAAATTATTTTAATGAACACAAAACATCTCTTTGACACCCCATATCAAACTACAACAATCATTCATGAAAATTTATTTTTTTTAAAAACATATGAAATATATATTTGAACAATTAGAGTCCAGTTTGACAGAACCCAACTAATTGCAAGCCCAGTTTGGCTTGAATTTGATTCAGGCCTGCACTTAGCTGTTTTGTTTCCGATGCTGGCTTAATTGAGCTCAATTCAGCTTGAAATCAGAATGAGTTTGAGCTGTTTATCAACAGCTACATTAAATTAACAGCCCTATATAGCACCACCGGTGCAGACTTGAGCAAACTACATACCTTGAAGACGAATGGAAACAGGCAGTGCAAATGGCATTAGCTGTACGATCATCAAACCACACCCTCCGTCTATGCAGATCACAAAGAATAACAAGCGACCTTTTGGCCCTCTGTTCCTCCGCCCCCTACAAAAGGAAAACTTAATGATGTTGGTACAAGGTCATGATTATAGATCTCAACAGGAATAGAATAGAGAGAAGATTAAAGAATCAGAAGTCTAAAAGTAAGGCAGTTAACGGCATCCAATAAACCAAGAACATCACAAGCTAAAATATTTAAAAAATAAAATACATACCTGCAGCATAAAAAAAAGAGTATTCTGCAGTTTGCGATTCTTGGCTTCGTTCTTGTGTTTCTGGTTCATGCGTCGAATGTTATGTACGACATGCGAAAAGGCCAGTTTTCTTAAGGTCCGGTCACCAAGAATCTGAAGGTCCATAAACAATTCAAGAGTTTCTTCAATATCAATGATCTGGAAACAAAAAAAAAGGTAACCAATGTGATGTTAAAGTCCGTCGAAGATTAAAACGAATTTTCAGATAAAACAGAATCATATTGAAGATCAGCAATAATGATCGAAAGTTAACTGGTATCATGATGCCAAATAATAAAGCAAACCTTTATGGCTTTTCTTAGGAAAGTGACTTAGACAATTATCAGAATATTTTAGAAAAACCAAAAAAGCAAGATTTGATAAGGCAAAACTTGGGTAACAATGAAAGAACTGTGTGCCAAACTTTTGCACAGATTAAGGCCTTCCAAGATGCCAAATTTTCACTTCATATGTTCTAAACTCTGATAACGCATCATTAAGGGAACATTTATTATCATCTAATGGAAGACTGAAATGTGTTAGCTTCAACACAAACCTGCTTAACCCAATGGAATCATTTGGCTTGGTTGGGTTGGCTGTTTGGAAATAACGATAGAGAGACATTCCAGAAATCAGAATCTGATCATACATCAGCTTTGATCGGGTTAGGAATGATCTATAAATAGTTTAATTTAGAAGGTCATCAAAATAGTAGGTGATGGTCATCAGCACAAGAAAAGAGGGTATAACATTACACCAATACAGGAAAAGAGAAAGCAGGACAACAGTCTAGATATACCAAAATATGGAACGCCTGATGTTACATATATGGCAGCACTAGAAAAAAAAGAACTGGCAAATGTAGTAGGTCATGATGGAAAAGAAGAAGAATGGCAGGGGACCAACAGGCAGAGCAACTCGTCTCAGACAACAAACAAGAGAAGCATGAACAGCGAATTCCTGTCTCACTGCCATATGATCTGGCACCACACTAATAGCCGGACAATAAAATCAATCCTCAGATCAGTAACACTGCAAACGGCATATGACATGTATTTCAGCACAAGGTGACATATAAGACCTTTAGTTGAATTTTTTTTTCCAAAAAGGTCTCACAGGAATGGTGATACACTAGGTAGGAGATTTAAGAAAGTTAAGTAGGTTAGCATTACATAGCACGGCTAAACTGGTAACCACACCCAGCATGCCAACAACATCATATTGGATAATAGCATGTCCATTTACTGAAAAATTATGAGACACATGATGATACAGGAAGGTAAGATTTCCAACAGGTGAAGCAGGTTAGAATTTAGAGTATGGTTGAGCCTGTAAATAAAACCAGGTACATGAATGATATATGATGAATTATGCTAATAGTTTATCGAGAAAACATGAAATCCATTGGTGATATAGGGAGAGATGAGTGAGGAGTTCTCAGAAAGTGAAGCAGGTCAGCATTAAATAGTTTGAATGATATATAATGAATTATGCTAATAGCCTTTTATTGAGAAAACATGAAATCCATTGGTGATATAGGGAGGGACGAGTGAGGAGTTCTCAGAAAGTGAAGCAGGTCAGCATAAAATAGTATGTTTAAACATGGCAACCAGACCAGGTATGCCAATAACATGCTGAATGATGCTACCACCTACATTGACTAATTAGGAGACTGTGATGGAAATAAGTCTTTTTTCTACAGCTTTACCTCAAGCAAGAATTTGTAAACTAGAACATGATTCTGTTATTTCGATCTGTAAATGAACAATAATTAGACTACTAAAATAGAAAGAGCACCCATATACAATCTTAATAAGCAAGGTCCACAAAAAACTGGTAAAAGATGTAATATTATAAGAATAAAAAATCAAAACAACTTGTTGAATTCTGAGGTAATAAAAGACAAAAAGGTTTCAAAAAATCTCCGGCCACATATTTGATCACAGACAAATCCACAGTGCATGATTTCAATTAATCAAGCCCCGACCGATGGAACTAAATGATTTCACAACAAAACAATAAAGATTCGAGCAACAAAAGACAAAACGTTTGGAGTAATTTACAGCCACAATTTGAATCATAAGAAGCAGCCCATCCACAACACTACCCGTCCACATCCACAGTGATAATTTCAATAATTCAAACCCAACTGACAGAACAAAATTATTTCCAATTAAAAAAAAATTCAAGATGTCGTCGATTCTTCAAACAATCATTCACACAATCTGTAAGTCTCATATTCCAAAAAGAAAAAGAATTCAACGAACCAACCTTTCTATTGACGAGGAGGATCAGGGCTTGCACAAGATGACACCTCAACGATGACGGAAGGGCGCAGGAATCGACACGGAGGAGGTCAGCCACCTGTTGGGGGAAGTTTGCAAGCTTATCCGGATAGAAAGGGGTGACATGGGCCATGAACATGACCAAGTCCCCGAGATCCTTGGCCAGGGAGAGGTCGGAGGAGGGCCTAAGGGCGGACTGGCAGCGGAAGAGGTGGAGAGAGGACTCGAAGTGGCGGTAGAGGAGTTGGAGCTCCGCCTCGTACCCCTCGGGGTCGCACTTCATCTTGGACTGCAGCGCCGGGAGGCTCAGCTTTTCCGCTGTCCGGCCGGCAGCCGAGAGGAGGATAGCGGAGGCTATCACGGGGTAGTTCAGGTTGTGCTCCTCGATCTTCTGCTTAGGGCAAGCGTAGGGCGGGTCGGTGAAGTGGGCAAGCTGAGTCGAGTTGTAGCCCATCGAGCACAGCTGGTCCAAGTAATCGGTGGGCTTTAGGTCGTACACCAACCGCTCCTGTTCGCCGTCGTCCTCATCGTCCTCCTCGTTCTCGTCATCGTCTTCATCCTCCCGCCCACGGAGCGACCCCTTGGAACCGTCGCCGTCAGGGACACCCTCGTGGAACCCTACCGCCTCCACGTCCGCGCCTCCATCGGCGGAGACCTGCCTCGAGTCCGGCGGAGTCTCGTAGTCGTCGTCGCGGTCGAAGACATGGATAGCAGTGATGTCGGCAAAGCTCACCCGGCGGGACTTCTTCCTCGCGATCGTTTCCTCGTCGAGCTCGCCGGCGCTCGGGAGCTCCCTCCCCTCGCCGGGATCCATGGAGACCCAGGCGCAAGGAACAAAGATTAGGGATGGATACAGGGTTCGGAGTCCGGTCGAAAGCGTTGGGGCCGTGATTTCTTTGGGAGGAAAAACTAGGGTTCTTAATGTTCCACGAAATTAATTCAAACGATGTGGGTGGCTTTGATACAAGAGGGCGCGCAGGACTTACATTTTATATGGAAAGTTTCACTTTACCCCCCCCTGACCTTTATCTCAAATGACACTCGCTGCTCCATACATGAGAGAAGTCTGATTAGATTTATAAAGAAAATTGCATGCATATACATAATACCCCTCAGAAGTCAATTATTTTGAATTTGTATTTAACAGATAAGCCCGTGCAGAACTTGAAACCATACATATGCCCTTGTGATTACTCTCAGATATGATAAGAATTTTAAAAAAGGTTAAATCTAAATCAGTACTTTTTACCTCAAATTGAGTTTTTTAAATAAATGTTAACCGGAAGAGGATCTTAATATCTGAAGAGGCATATATCCTGCATATTTCAAGAAGCAAAGAGAACATCTCTAAATTGCTAGCTTAAAATATTATAAAATTATTATATTACATGATGATAAAAATTTAATATTATGTTTTTCATGTAATGAGTTGAACTTATATTACAAACATAAAGAATAGTTGTACTTCTCTTTTTTGTTGATAACAAAGGGGGAGAAGTATGTTGATGACATGACATGTTAATGCATAAGTTCATGATGAATAAGTTCATGATGACATGTTGCAAGTATTCATGATGACATGTTGCAAGTATTCATGATGAATATTGCAATGACTTGAATTCAGTTTGAATTCAAGGTTCTATCAATATGGCATATTGATAGGGAGAGTTTTTTAAACTCCGGGAGTTAAAGTTAACTCCGTCATCAAGTGGTTGTCATCATCAAAAAGGGGGAGATTGTTGAATCTCGTATTTTGATGATGAAACCACTTAATATGTGTTTATGTTTTAATCTGCATTTTGAGTGACGTAGGATGATTCGATCAGGATGAGATAATTAAAGCAGGAAAAATCATGTTGTGCCCGAGTAACATGTCAGAAGATTGGACGTTGGGCCGATGGATCGGTCGACGTATCGACAGAAGGCTTCGGGTCGTGGACTTAGGCTTCGGGCCAAGAAGAGCGGGTATTGTGCCAAGGATATCGGAGTTGCGGAGTCAACTGGCCGATTGGGCAATAGGCCGCAGGAGAGGACGATGCGCCGAAGAATCAGACGAAGCGTCGAGGGACCAATGACATGCTGGACAACTTAGTTAATTGCTTAGGATTAATTGTCTTGATCGAAGTTTTATTTTAAGTGTGCAGGATTAACTACGATGAAAGAAAGACATGTAGTAGGAGTTGCGTCGGAGTCAAGACTATGATCACGTTAGGAGTTCGAGAGCTCGACGGAAGTCCGGACGATCGTCGGAGGTTCTGCGGGAACAAATCCAAGAAGTCCAGAAGCTTGCCAAACGAAGCTCGTCGGAACTCGCCAAGTGGATCGTCGCAAGTCCAGGAGTTTGTCGGAAGTCCATCGGAGCATCGTCGGAGGTTCGTCGGATGTTCGTCGGAAGTTCACCGGAAGCTCGCTAGAAGAAGCGATTGACGCACCGGAGCAAGCTGTAGTAAATGTCTTAAGAATTATCGTAGTTAGCATGTTGATTAAGTTATGAATGAGGTGATCCCATTAACTTAATCTAGGGACAATTGGGCCCTTGACAGACCCAAATTGGGCTGAATGGATCAACCCATTCGGACCAGAATTCCTACTAGGCGGTAGCATCGCTAGGGTCGACGGTGGCACCACCCAGGAGAGGGTCTCCCAGGAAAGCTGGGCGGTGCAACCACCCTAGGCAAGCGGTGGCACCACCTGGGCTCAATCTCCGAGCGAAACTGGGCGGTGCAACCGCCCCTGACAGGCGGTGGCACCGCTTGGGCTCAGTCTCCGAGCGAGACTGGGCAGTGCAATCGCCCCTGACAGGCAGTGGCACCGCTAAGGCTCAGTTTCCGAGCGAGACTGGGCGGTGCAACCGCCCCTATCAAGCGATGGCATCGCCCTGAGGCTTAGTCTCCGAGCTCTGCCAAGCGGTGCAACCGCCCTTGACAAGCGGTGGCACCGCCCAGAGGCTCAGTCTCCGAGCTCTGTCAGGCGATGCAACCACCCTAGTTAGGTGGTGCAACCGCCAGACCCCGGAATTCCAGGAGATGACAGTTTTGAGCTCGAAATTCAAATTGGTTTGGAGCCTATAAATACCCCTCCCGTCCCTGGGTAAATTATACAAGCACAGAGAGATTAAAATGCTAGTCATAGGTGCCCAACAAGCCAATCGCGTGAGTGATGGCACGTGTGACTTGATACAGAATCTTTTTGCTTATTTTGGCGTATATCACTTTATAACTATTGCATAAATGCATATATATATATATATATATATATATATATATATATATATATATATATATATATATATATATATTATGATGTCCTTGGATTTGTGCAATGGGAATCGGATCGTGATGAGATCATGA